GCCAAAGTGGTTTCTGATACACGAATGGATAGAATCAATGCTCTGGTGAAACAATTACAGAAAATTATTTAGCCAGAAGAAAATATCATACCACATAGATAAATGTTGTAACATACAGGTCTCTACCACTTTTTGAAAGTCACCCCAAATAAAGCCTTTGCGCTTACTTCGCTTTAAAAGTTTCATACTCGGCACTCACAATGAAAAACGTATCAAATATATATCATATCCTTAGAGTTTTATTGAACATGGGATCTATACGTTTGACAACCAAAGACATTGTAGATGGAAGACAGAAAACCGAATCACCATAACCAGAACTCAAAAGAACTGTGCAAAGAAGAGAACTTCCTTTCAGTTTTGGTTTCCAAGATCAGTTCAGATTTCCAGTGGGCAACTCAAGCAGCACAGTAGCATCTATTTTAGGGCAGATGTTTTCACATGATAGATTTGTTTTTAATTGATTTAAAAAGTGGTGCAATCTGCTTACAAAGTGAATCTGAAAAAGTGAAATGATTCTCTCTTCAGTGCTGTGCTGCATGTTTGAAGTTCTGCATGTTGCTCTTTGGGTTGATACTAGTCAGAATACAAGGGTTCACATTTTCAGCTGTGAGCAGGAAAAATGTGCATATGCTTGGAATGAATATTGTCTTGCAGAATTGTTGGATTCACATTAAAAGTTGTCACATGTCTCACTACTACATACCTTCTGTATAAACAGAAATCTCCATTTAATTCTCTACAACTTAAAATTTAGCAGTAGATAGCATTACTCCTAATGTCCCATATAATTGAAAAATACTATTATAAGGTGTTAGTAGTGACCTTGGCAATACTGATATTAATACTGTACTTCCTGTCAGGTACAGGACTAGTTCTGAGTATATAGAAGGGACACCAGAAAATTGTTTTGGGTTGCTATAGCTATTCTTAAAAGGCAAATTTTAAAGTGTCCAAATCATTGCAGAAGGTTAAGTTGTATTTTTAAAACAACTTAACAGATAATAGAGCATAATGTCTATTGCTCAGAATGGTTTTTAAATTTTTTTTGTAAATCTGGGTTCTGTTATTCTGCTCTGGGAGGTCCACAGGCAGGACCTACTGACATCTGGGGGAGTCTGGTATGTAGGCACAACAGACTGTCAAGAGTCCAGGGACTGCCAATTTTAGCCCTTGCTGTATATTCCAGGTTATTTTGTGCAGTGCCCATATTTAAGACTGAATTATCTTAGAGCAGCCAAGCAACAAGCCCAGCTGATTACCTGAAAAGTGCAAGTTGCGCCTGTTACATCTAAATTAATGGCCAGCAAAAGCTTGAAAAAGAACAGATTAATTTATTCTGAAAAGTTAGCATTACAGTCATTTATAGCCAAGCTACAATTAAAGCAGTGAAAAGAAAAGGGAGATGTAGCATACAGAAGTTCTTGAGTGCACCGTGGGCTTGTTCCTGGATCGAGCTGCTGGGCACACCCTGAATTAAACCACTGGCATGCAGTGCTCTCTGCGTGAGGATTAACAGCACTGTGCACACACAGCTGTGCCTATCTGGAAAAACTGTTTTTGATTTTGATTCTGGCAGCAAGCCAGCAGTGGGCAGGTTTCTTGAGGGTAGGCTGAGCAGTCATCCACAGATGTTTCAGGATAAAAAGAGAGAAGGCTGGTCACCACAAATAAATTGATTTGCTGCTGTAATCCTGCTCAACAGCATTCTCTGAGGGACCGGATCGGCGTAGCTACATGCGCACACTTGGACCATTGCTACTCAGCGGGGTTTATGAGCTCAGTCCAGGCACTGCATTACTGCAGCTACTTGCCTTCTGGACCAAAGCTGGCTGGTGTCCCAACAGATCAGGGTGTGGGCACGGCGGGTGCCTGCAACTGCCTGCACTCAGCCATGGCAATACAGCTTTAGAACATAGCATTTGCTACACTCAGGTTTATAAGCAACAGAGAACAATGGCAAAGTCAAAATATGCTGTGATTACATGTTGGATTGTGTTTTCTTTTCACCAAGGCCTATCAGGTTGTGCAGTTTCTAGTTACATTTACAAAACCACTTTTTCAGTTGCTTGCCAAAATTAAAAAATTCTACAGGAAGGAATCTGCAGGAAGGTTCCTGCAAGTATGATTCATCCTCCTGGCTTTTGCATATTAGGAAACAATCTTTAATTACATTATCACAAACTGTATATATTACAAGGTCAAAGTTTCACTCAGTGCACAAGATGAACAGACTCTACAGACATTGTCCCCCCCTCCAAATAAATATGTTCCTAAATTTAAAAGAAGAAAACATGATTTTTTGCTGATTTCAATACTTCGAAATACAGATTTGTGCCATAAAGTATCATAATTCCTGTCAATATACTGCTGTTTGACTCTAAGCATTTTCTTTTTAAAATGTCCCTTTCAGGTGCCGTCCCCCCTGTACTGCCAGCCACACATGGGCCTCTAGAGCGTGTTTGCTTGTGCCACAAGTACAAAAGCTTTGCAAGAGTGACATGATGTCCCAGAAAAATGATTAAATACACTCAAACACAGAATTAGCTTTATTTGTAAAAGCTTCTTGAGTTAAAATCCACCTCCACAAAAGCCTATCAGAATATACATAAAATTGGATTCTGCCTCTGTGATGTACAAGTAGCAGATCCTGTGCTGACAGCAGACATCCATAAGCAGAAGCACCCAAAAGTTTAAAAAATGAAGGTTCAGGGTTTCTTCTCTGACTTTCTGCTTTAACACAGACTTTCTGACAACCATACACCAGCCTTCTGCTGCAGTGAGCATACTAACAAACATTGAGGAAGATCTTTTAGAAGAACTCAGCTTATTCCTGTGGTGTGGGAAGTACCGTGTAATTTCTTGCTGTAGCAGGAGTGTCCAAATAACTTCAGAAGGCTACGGCTCATTTTAAAATGACTTAAAGGAGATTTTTCAAATGCACAAAAGGTGCTTAGATGCCAACACTAGCCTGCACCCCTGAAAATCTCTCCTTCAGAAGTCCAAGATTCAAAACTAATTCACAAACCAAATGGGATGTAACTGTTTAAAATATGTAGTCACCTTAAAAACCAGCTGATATAGATATCCTTTATATAGTGCTTAGTTCAGGAAGGATTTAACTGTATGTTGAAAGCACACCATTTTACGGGAAAGAGGCGGCCAATCTCAAAGAGCGAAAATACCAGAAAACTCGCTTTGGCCATCATCTGCAGCTGCAGCAAAAATGTGATCTCAGCACTGCCAGTGTGTTGTCATGTACACCACTGTTTGCCGAGTCCAACCGAAATTCTCTATTTTTAGCCTTTCAGCTACTTTCAGATAAAATTCCTGCAGATAGGACTAGCTGTATAGGGCAGATAACATACAACTCTGAAACCACAGATGACCTCATACAACTGCAAAGAAAGAAGGGTCTGTTACTTAAAACAAGGCTAAAATTTAACCCGGCTATACTAAAATTAAACAGGGAGTGTTTTACAGTCCCATTACAAGATATAAAACAACAGTCACTATAAATTCACGGTGTACTTACTTGTAAGGATGTAAAAAGAGTAATTAATAACCCCCAAACAGCTTATCTCTGAGCCAGTACAACACCAAAGCTTTCCCAGGCTCATTGGAGATTTTACAAATAGCACTGAGAAGCTATTTTAGCTGTCACTTGAGAATTATTTGTCCAAACTGAAAAGTCATTGCTCTTTGTCACAAGTCACAAGGCATTTTTTAGTGTTCCACACTTTTAGTTGACATTACGGAGAGAAAATAAATAAACGTAATCCAAACTTTCTGGAAGGGCTTCCATGTGTAAGAACACTTACCAACTACAGATCCGAGCGAGCACTGCACAGTGATTCTTCTTTGCGCAAAATGCACTGTACCTTCCTATCTTCTACTTCACCTTTTCTGTGTGTCACCCTATATATCAAAAGGCACCTGTTGCCTTTGAAATGCCATTTATTTCCAATAGATTGAAGTACAGTTCAATAGATTGAGTACTATCATTCAAGTTTATCTTAAGTATTTAAGGAGAAATGTGTAAGGAATGGATATGTCACAAGCGAATCAATACAGATCAGGGTGATCAGTTTGCATCCTTTGGGATATGTTGGTCACACCTCTCCTGGTTTGCAGAATATTTGCTGGATATTTCTTCAGAACAAATCCTTCATGAGGTTATCACATCCTTCCAGTTGTGGAAGAAACTCTCTGAAAGCTCTTCTCCTCAAGAAAAATTTTCACTCCTTAATACCAAATGGACAGTTTAGATACAGGAGTGAAATAATCCTAAGGTAAAGAAATTCTTTCACCCCCTCACCAAATCACTATAAGAGATCAGTAAAGGATTCAAATCATTTCTCTTAACTCTTCCTTTCTTTCCTTAATACTAACATAGGCAAACCTATATTTTTTAACAATGACATAGCCTCTACCTGTCATCCAATTTTTCAAGCACAGCCAGCATTGAAATAAAGGGTTACAAAGCACTTAACTGTTAATTTGAGATTATAGAACAAGTCTGATATTTTCTGGCTTCACGTCACTTGAAAGGAGAAACTCCATTTGTCATAAGGAATGAAAACCAGGACAGAACAAGGTTTGCTATCACTCTCTCTAAGGAATTGTGGGTGGAGTTATATAGACAACAGAGAAACGATCAAAGGGAAATCTTAGGGACCGTAATATACTGAGGTCTTTTATCTATTGTGGAGGAAGGAAGTAGAGCATTGAGACATGTGTAATATATACAATTAAAAATCAAAACCCCAAGCGAGTCCCAAAAGAGACCAAAATCCATTAAAATCTTTTTTTTTCTTATTTTGTGAAAATGACAAGAAAGAACCAAAAATGCAATCCGCCACAAAAATTACGCTCCATCACCTGGAAAAGCCAAGCATTCAACTCTCTCTTAAGCTGAGTTTTTCCCTACATCCTATGAAACAAGCACTGTTCGATCACAGCCCATGTCCTCATTCACTGCCAGTCTAACTGAGGCTTACCTTGTCCTCCACTCTGTTCAGCCTGGCACCAATTGTGTTATTCCCTCGATCTTTGCTTTTTTCTGTGGATCAAGAAACATTTTCAAATTAATATATGGTGGTATAACAAAATAGCAGCAAGCCACAACAGGGTGTGTTTAACTAGCCCACCAACGCAGTGTAACTGAACACCTTTGTCAGGCTGGTAGTTCTATTCCTTAAAAGCAACTTTTTGGTTTTTTATAACATTAGCCCATGCCATGGCTATTAATAGCCCTTAAAGTTTAAGGCACTTTCAACCTTAGTTTTATGCTTTAACCTGGGAGAACAAGGTTCTGTTCCCAATTGAGTTAATGTTTTAATTGCCATTTAAAAATAATCTGCCACTATGCAAAAGACTCTAAAGCCAACTTGAACAATGCATGTAGTAACATTTTATCTTTTTTCCCCCTATAAACTATATAGAAACATGAGTTTGAAAATGCCATTAACAGAGAGTTTTCATTAGCCAGGCTTGTCACAAACATAGTACTTTGTGCTCCTTTTCCACTCTTTTTTCATAGAATCATAGAATCGTTTAGGTTGGAAAAGACCTTTAAGATCATCAAGTCCAACTGTTTTGGAGCTATCAAAGCTCTATGTGAGTATTACCAATTTCATAGAAACTCTGTAATCATAGCATGCCATTTTATTGGAAATAAGGTGAGTCTTGGAGAAATTAGAGCCAACATTTTGAAAACTTCAGTGAAAGTAGGTGCTTTAAATATCTAAATAAGAACAAGCGTATTTTAAAGGTGTTGATGACTAAATATTATTGTGGATGCCTAAACTTCAGATCACAACTGGTTGGCACTGATTAAAAATTTGGCAACAAAATAAAAAGTATTTTTACAAGTATTTTCCATTAATTATATCTTCATCAGATTAACTTTAGACACATCGTTCATACTAACTTACCTGAGACAGAGATAAAAAGAGATGGTTTCCCTATGGATTGGTCTAACCTATAAAACAAAAAGAATCATTTTTAGTTTTTACCAGCCTGAACCAGCATCTTCATTTTCTCTAGCTGGAGTGGGGACACCTCTTCACAAACAAGCAAAGTGAAGTTCAAATAGTTCTGGTTTGTATCCAGTTGCTCTGGGCTAGGAATAGCTTGAAATTAAAAAAACAATAATAAAATGAGATTAGACTTAGATTGGTCTTTAGCTTCTTTAACCATTGTAAAATTTTACCATGCCCGTTGCTTTTCCATGTGAACAGCATTGTTTCCTCTTTTCCTTGTTCTTCTGCAGCTTACTTGTTGCATCTATCTGTCGTCTCTTAGTTTGCTCTTAAGTGCAATTCTACCAGAGCAGGCAGCAGTATTTCAGTCTGTACATATAATACAGCCCCTAACATATAGGGATTACAGTGTATAGTCAAAGCTAGCAGGGACTGAGGCAATACATGCAAATATAATGAAAATTGTAAGTCCTGATCATCAGATTTTTAAGCTCTTTGCCTTTTCCTTCCTGTGTGAAAAGGAAACTTTACTGGAATGCCATTTTACATTCCATAACTTTGCACAGTCCTACCAATATGGCACCTGTAACCCTGTCAGTTTTTGATCCCCGGCCCCAATCACTGACTTATTTACGAACATCCCTCTGCTGGTGTTTACAAATACAGACACTGAACTTTATTGACATACCTCCTCTGTAACTCCTTGATTCGCACCATCAGGTTGAGGTGACCCTGCGAATACTGCTCAATAACATCTCGGACATCATAGGGCTTTCTAGCTTGCTGTAAAATAAAAACCCATGCCTTTAAGACACAAGGATGTAGGAACGGTCTATGGTAATGTAGATTTTTTTTCAAGATGTCATGGTTTAACCCCAGTCTGCAACTAAGCACCACCCAGCCACTCTCTCACCCTCCCCCCAGCCCCGGTGGGATGGGGGACAGAATTGGAAGAGCAAAAGTAAGAAAACTTGTGGGTTGAGATAAGAACAGTTTAATACTTGAAATAATAATAAAATAATAACAGCAACAACAACAACAACAATAATAAATTGTAATGGAAAGTAAAACAACGAGAGAGAGAGAGAGGAACAAAAT